TTATATTTCTGTGCTTATTAATAAGTAAGTAGTTTCTGTGTCCTCTCATAGCAGCCTCAGGAGTAAGGGCATGGAGTAGCTAATAAAGAATACCTACCAGCCCTGACCGGTTTGGCTCAGTGGATAGAGCCTCGGCCTGCAGACTGAAAGGTCCCAGGTTCAATTCCGGTCAAGGGCATGTACCTGGGTTGCTGGCAAATCCCTGGTAGGAGGTGTGCAGGAGGCAGCTGATTGATGTTTCTCTCTCATCGATGTTTCTAACTCTCTATCTCTCTCTCCCTTCCTCTCTGTAAAATATCAATAAAATATATATTTTTTTAAAAAAAGAATACCTACAGTTAGAGGATCTTCCTTTCACGTTTTATCTAGTCACAGAGGCTCTCAACCTGTGGGTCGCGACCCCTTTGGCGGTTGAACGACCCTTTCACAGGGGTCGCCTAAGACCATCCTGCATATCAGATATTTACATTATGATTCGTAACAGTAGCAACATTACAGTTATGAAGTAGCAACGAAAATAATTTTATGGTTGGGTCACAACATGAGGAACTGTATTTAAAGGGCCAGAAGGTTGAGAACCACTGCTAGAAGATCATAGCTGTTTCTCCCTTTAAAGTCTGTATATATAATTTTATTCCTCACATTTTTGTTCACTTGGTTACGGTCTTGATCAACTATTAAGATGCGAGCAAGAGTAAATGCACTGCTGTTACCTTCCTCCCTGTGACATCACACACCTTTCTTTCTGCTGACGGCTTTCTAAAAGCCAAGTCCAGTTTCCTCTCCTCAGTTCATGTTCCTTCTCCAGTTTCTCCTTTGCTTTTTATCCCATCCAACTTCAAAACATACAGCTCGCTGGGTTTCCTTTGGTGTTTGCGTGTCGGCTTTGGCTACTCCCCTCGGCCCCGCCCCTGGACAGCAGCCGGTCTCCAATGAGCACTTAATGTAGTGCCAGAGCCTCAACACTAGTTCAGTAAAAGTTTGCATAATACTGTTTTTACCCCCTGAGCCATCGCCTAGCTACTACGCAAAGAAGGGAATCTAAAACAGAGATGTTGAAGGTTTCAAGTCTACCCGCTTTCCGCGCGCGGGATTTGCACCTCTTCCTCAGCCCCAAGGAAACAAGACCGCGACCTGGTTGGGCAAGGGGATTGGGCGCTTAATAAACCCGCCGCTCCTTTCCCGCCTTCCCCTGCGGCGCGCACTTCCGGCCGCGGAGGCACTCGGGAGCGCGCCCCTCGAGCCTCCACCAACCAGCGGCTCGGCCCGCCCGGTTGCGTGCGCGCGAGCGCACGTTAGTGCGCAGGTTC